TGTATGTATGTATGTATGTATGTATGTATGGATGGATGCATGGATGCATGGATGCATGCATGCATGCATGCATGTATGTATGTATGACACGCCAATGTATGTATGTATCTATGTATGTATGTATGTATGTATTTATGGATGGATGGATGGATGGATGGATGTATTTTAATTAATTATTTCATATTATATGCTTTAACATTAGTACCAATAAAATTTTTATGGTCGCCATAACCCACTCGCCCAGCGGGCGCCTAGGCGGGCGCCTAATCGCCTAGGCGATTGGAAGGTGCTCTAGCGCCCAGCCTCGCCTAGCCGCCGTAACAACTATGCTTAGCATGCATGTAGTGTTTGCTAAAATGATTGACACTGTTCAGATCGCTGAAATGAGACTATAAAGTAGTACTCCCTCTGTCCCGAAAAGTCTTTCCTGTTTACTATTACACCCTCTCGATAACTCCAATTTGTTTGCATGTTTTCATTGATTATTTGATAAAATAAAATATTCTTGTCACCTCTTATTTTGTAGAGTTCTCGATGTAGTTTCTAAATATAATTTTTTTATGTGTTATTTCCTTACCAATTTTCAAATAAAATCATTTTAAAATCCACAGGGTTTTGCACGTTAAACAATGTAGGAAGTTCTTTCTGGGACGGAGGGAGTATCAATATGTCAGATTGGTGACTTCCCTCTGTTGGTATGGCAAATTTACTTTTGTTTATTCTCCCAATGACTATCTCAGATTGTTACCAAACCAAGTCAGAGGTTAACCTTGAACATACACCATAGAGATGGGCGTGGCTCAAATAATTTGGGCACACTTACAATCCTTGCTGAAGAACCAGTTATTTCGAGAAGTGCAGTGGAATTGACACTGAAGTGTACAAATCTCGACAAAAAGGACTTGTTCTCCAAAAGTGTACGTATGAGATGGAGTATTGATTTTGAGTATTTGTAACATTAGTTTGTAGAGGAAGCTAACCCTACTGGACCCTAATGCATGGGAAGTTTTGGGATTGGGTTTGCTGTTTGCCATTTGCCCTTTTATAATCTCATTTTCTTGTGCTAAATGTTTTAGGATCCATTCTTGATAATATCTAGGATTGTTGAAGCTGGAGGTTCTATTCCTATCTGCAAGACAGAAGTTCTGAACAACAACTTAAATCCCATATGGAAGCCTGTGTGTCTATCTGTTCAACACTATGTGAACAAGGTACATGTCCTCTGATCTTCGTAAGAACAACTCCACATTGTTTGCACACACTTGTTTCTATTCCTATATGAGTGCTGTGTGCGATTGTGTCTCCAGTTCTCCTCCAATGGCTACTTTCACATAATGAAATACAGTTTCAAAATGTGTTTTCAACGTATTTATAGAGTTACCCACTAGACAGCCGTATTGGTAGAATTTGAAATCATCTTCAAAACACCAAAATGAATGGACAGAGTTTACAGTTTCCGGAGACTAGAATTGCTACTTATTGTAAAAGATCTGCTATGGCCTATGGGTACTCCCTTTGTCAACTTCAAGATGAATTTCATACAGCTTATGTTAAATTTGTTGTAGGATAATCCTCTAATCATCGAGTGCTTTGACTTCAACAGCAGTGGGAAGCACGCCCTCATTGGGTATGCTTTGCTTTGAACCTCTATCGATCTTTCTTGGTCCAAATACCTTTCACAATCCCTTGAATTTTTAGTATTCATGATGTAGATATCTTATTATGCAGAAAAATGTACAAGACAGTGGCAGAGCTTCAAAGTCTTCATGGCAGTAAAGCTGGAGCAAATTTTATCTCACCACCTTCTGGTCTCCGGAAACAAGAAAAGGTCTCTAGTTTATTATTTTTTTTTCTACTACTAGCATTCGCCTTTCCTGTAATATCTGACTCAGCAGTGTTATGCACTCAGCTTTCGAAGGTTGAACTGTTTGTGGAAAATTTCATTGAGAAGCAACTCTACAGCTTTCTTGATTACGTTTCTAGTGGATTTGAGCTTAACTTCATAGTTGCTATTGATTTTACTGGTATCGTACTTCATCTATATAATTGTTCTTTAATAATCTGTTTGGATATGGACATTTCATTCGTAACTTTGGAATTGACCCAACTCCCTTGTTTAGGAAAGTTGTGGCATTTCGGTTTTGAATTGGGCAAAATCCATATCATGTTTTAACAGGATACAAAGTGTGGATATCAAAATGACTTCAAACCCCAAGGGATTTGTATTTGAATTCTAGAATTAGAATTCTTGAGGCTTGCCTAACAAGATTTTTGCAATTTTGGAATTGTGAATTTTAAGTGATTGTCTATGAAAAATTGGATTTCATAATACATGAGTTTAAAATGTGGAATTAAGAACACATGTTTGAAATGAAATCCTTCTATGTTCTATCCAAACACAACCTCTCTGGTATTCCATAAATGTTTTCTGATCTATTCAAGTTCTAACTTTTATTTCCCAGCTTCAAATGGAAACCCTCAAACTCCCTCTTCTCTACATTATATTGATCCATCAGGAAATTTAAATGCGTACCAGAGGGTAAGTAGGAATTAATCTTCTCTTTAATAAACTGTTTTCTTTTTTATGTATTGAGGACTTCCATGGTTTATATTAGAAAATGATTACATGCTGTGGTTACTTCAGGCCATTACAGAGGTTGGAGAGGTCATACAATTCTATGATTCGGATAGATGTTTTCCTGCATGGGGCTTTGGTGGAATGACTTATACTGGTTCGGTATCTCATTGTTTCAATTTAAATGGAAATCCAAGCACGTCTGAGGTAGATGCCTATTCTATAAAGTTAGAGATCTTTTTTCTTGGGTCAGGTTCATGGTGGTTTAATTTGTCAAAGTCAGGAACCTGGATAAGTGGATAATGAAGAAAAAGAAGAAAGAATCTTTTCCTTTTATTTCGTATTCTCTTTTTATTCACCCAAATCTTAGTGCATTTGAGATATTCATGTTCTTCGTATGCTTTCCATGAATCATGGTTTGGTCTATAAACTTCTAGACACCGACCTCAACATAGTTGGGTTAAGGTATGGCAAACAGGTGATGATGAGGGGTTTGAGCTAAATGATTGGGTTTTTGTTTGAACACTCTTGCTCTTGTAGGGGGCAGCAAAACCCTGGCCTTTTCTTTTTGAATAAGACTGCATAAAACAATATTATCATTAGCATTGGTGAACTAAATTTTCCCCTTTCTCAGGTTCAAGGGGTAGATGGAATCATGAATGCTTATTCAAGTGCTTTGCACCATGTAACTCTTTCTGGGCCCACCTTGTTTAGCCATGTGATTAACTCTGCTGCCAATATTGCGGCCCAGTCTCTCAAAAATAACCACCACAAATACTTTGTCTTGTTGATTATCACGGTATGTTGTGGAAGAAATTGAGTCTGCTTTCATATACTCTATCTATTACTCCTCGACTCCATCCCAATTTTTGTTGCGCACTTTGACTCGACACATAGATTAAGGTTTAAACTTTGAGTCTTTGTGGTTGAGATTTATGCAGAGTAGGGAGAAGCAGTATGAACCACATGATGCTTTCTACAAATAAAAATGGACAAAATAAATCAGCAGGGTAAAAAAAAAAGCAAACAATAGAATTTGGGACTGATTTTAACTGTTTTTTAAATATTTTTTTGGCTGTAGGATGGAATCATTACCGACCCTCAAGAAACTAAAGATGCTATTGTAAGGGCATCTGACCTACCACTTTCAATTCTTGTCGTTGGAGTTGGCACTGCAGATTTTACACAAATGGAGGTTCATATAACCCCTCTCAAATGCAGAAAAATATTCAAGCTGAACAATGAGAAGGAACCCAATTATTAATTTTTTTTTTTATTTTTTTGCTTTTTACACAATAGATTCTTGATGCTGATAATGGAAAACGACTGGAGAGCTCCACGGGAAGGATAGCTACAAGAGACATTGTGCAGTTTGTTCCAATACGCGATGTGCTTGGTAAGTGCACATACATCTTTCTTCTGCATATATATAGCAATGCCGGCCTCGTCAGGTTTTTCCTATTGGTCTTTCTTTCTACAAGGAAAAATGTCAATTGCAGCAGATTCTGTGACAAAATTTTGTCACAAATAAGTAGCTTGAAATTTTGTATCGAAATCACACATCTCCATAACAAATTCAGCTACAAATGTGTTATAACTGGTTATGTCTTGTTACAAATGACATTTTTTGTACACACATGATCTGACTTGATATGTTTATGATCTCGTACATATGCAGCAGGGCAAGTCTCAGTGGTGCAGGCCCTATTGGAAGAGCTTCCAGGGCAGTTCTTGACTTACATGCGTAGTAGAGACATTAAGCCCCTGAATGTCACCTCTTAGAGTTTAAGGGATGGGAGAAAATATTGTTGCATACATTATTCTTCTGAATTTGGAAATTGATCCATTTCATGTGTTAATACTATTGTTAAACGTACAAACGGTACAATACACCCTTCATGGCTTGCACTATAGGGTACGGCACCCACTTTGCATACAATTATTATGCCCGTCATTTATGAATCCACATCAAATCCATAACCATAACACAGCTTTCTTTTAAAATATAACACACATCTACATTTAAATGATACCATCATTTGTTATACTCTCTCTGTCCCTTATAGATCTTTTCAAAATCATTTTTTGTGGTTTCAAGAAGAGTAAAAAAGGTGAAAGTTTATTAAAATAGTGGTGTATATTAAATGAAGTACTCCCTCCGTTCCCCTGTATTTGTCCACTTTCATTTTACACACCATCCAATGCATTTCTTTAATCCATTTTATCTTGCAATTTGTATATTAAAAAATTATAGAAATTATATATTAATAATCTATATGTTAAGACAAATCAAACAAGATCATACATAACTATATTTAGACTTACACATTGAGAGAATTTGATGAGTCAAAGTGCTTAGATGAACAGTTTCAAAAATCAAATGTGGACAAATACAGGAGGACGGAGGCAGTAGATGATATGTAATATATAAAGTGAGGATAGTCGTAAAATTTCAAATTTTGAAAAAAGGGAATGAGAATCTTTTTCAAGCAAACAGAAAGGGCATTTGAAAAGATCTATGGTCAATGATGGGAGTATTTATTTTGGGCTCTGGATGTTCATCACCTTATCACCTTAGTACGGAGTAATATTTTAAACAAATTAAATTCGTATAAATGTCGTTATTTTTGTTATAACACTCCAATTAGCCACCAATACAGAATACGGTTGCTAGGGGTGTAAACGGATATTAATCAGATCGGATGTGCCTTTACCAGTATCCGTTTATTTTTCTCGGATATCGAATTCGAATACAGATCTTGACGGATATTGAAAATCAAAACCGTATCCGCATCCGTCAGATATCGGTTGGATATCGGATATATCCGTTTCCAATTTTTTAAACCACATCAAACAATACTTTAATTTTCAATTAAACTAAATCAAAATATTATTAAATCAACTATAATTTTTTATGGGATAGTTATTTTCTTATTTTTTATAGTTTATGATATTCTACGATAATTTCATATCATAAAAAGATATACACACTAGATATATACACATATTTTTATGTGTCTACACATATATTTTGCATATAAAAATATCTTATACTTTGAGATATCAATAGAAAAACAAAATATAAAAATAAAAAAATTAGGAAAAACTATATGTAACGGATCGGATACACGGGTAAACGGTTCTTTAAACGGATGTCAATGCGGAGCGGATTATAAACGGATCAGATGTGTGATTAGCAAATCCGTACCCGTTTAGCAATCAGATATCATTAATCGGATACGGATAATATCCGCTTTTAACGGATGCAGATATTTTCCATATGAACGGATACGGGATGCGGACGGTAATCGAATTTTCGATTATCCATTTACAGCCTTTACGGTTGCTCTCAACAATACTTGGGGGTCCAGAAATATGAAAAACAATTGCATGGGAAAATAAGGATCTGAACAATATGTATGAAAATATGAAAAGAAAAACGTTATGAAAAACTATTTTGGTCAGCAGAGTAAAAGAAACGTGAAAAGAAAACAAAAGTGGTGAAGAAATGAACTGAAATTGGAGAAAACCATTTTTCTTTTCAAAATTGAATAGAAAAGGAGAGAAATGGCTTCTCTCGCAATTCTCCATCTCCGTTCAGAACGGAACAATGGGAGATTGGCAGTCCTACTTGATTGCCTAGAGGTAATGAAACAGAAAAAAATAATGAAGCAGGAAAGAATGAAAACTTCATTCTTAACTTTGCTTTTTGAGTGGTGATTCTGTGAACTCCACGCCTAATTTCTAAACCTTCTCATAAAAGTTTTTGGACTTAGAAGCTAATATGGAATACGGCCCATTTCACCTGTGTCTAATCTTAATCCTAATTCTAATCATAATCTTAATTATAATTCTAATCTTAATCCTAATCTTAATGGTAAAAAGTCCACACCAGCAAGGTCAATATAATTGGAATGAACATTAGGACCATAAAAGTATTTGCCTTGCCCTTTCTTCACAACCACCAAACAAAAAAGTTAAGGAAAACTATTTTCCTCACCAATGTCTCTTGTAACCAAACAAAATTAGGATTTTGAATTTCTTTTCTTGTCCTTAACAATATATTTTTCTCCTTAATTCTTTGAACCAAACATAGTGTGAGAGTACAAGAGAAGAGAAAGCATATTCCACACATCTTATGGCCTCTTAACCGTAAGAAGAGTTACAAGTAATCATCACTTAGGTTTTCTTCTATAGCGTCAATGCAAGAGCCTACTGATCGTTCTTCTGTCATAGCCAATGCTAGCTTTGCTCGGGCATTCTCGTGGCGGCGCAAAATGAATATAGTATTCAGAATGGCCCATCTAACCAGAGAATCACTTTTCTTCTGTGTAAACCCCAGGCTTCTAAGTAGTCTGTCTAACTGCCATGTCAACAATGTCTTGATTAGCCATTTAAACCTCGACAAAATGACCAAATTCGACCTAGCACATCAGTGCAGAACCATATGTTTACTGTTTTATATCAAGACAATAGCCAAACAGAAGCTGCACTTTTTACGTGCCAAGTGACGGATGAAATGCAACAACTTTAAGGACAAATTGTTATTAGATGCACAAAATCAGCTCAAGAAGAGCACTAAGTACTACGTTGATCAACCATACTTTATTTGCTCGAGATTGAAATGTAGAGGAACAGTGTAAACCTGGTTAATATCTGCAAGTCCTCCCTCAGCACATCCAAAGAGAAGATACTCTGTAGCCACGCCTGCTAGTGCAACACAAGAAAACCTGTTCAGCATCTGCCAAAAAAAAAGTTTGCGTCGAAGATCTTTCTCACGAGAAAGAATTGATCATCATACTGCATATCTAAAGCAAGAGGCGTACTGTGGCAGATACTCTTCCTTTACTAACCTGCAAAGGAAGTGATAAGTGTTTCATTACAAGAAAAAAAAACATACTGCATTACATTTAAAAGCCTAAAGAAACCTAGAAAATGTCACTGTAATATAAGAAGACAACCTACTTCCTCGACGAACTCAAAGTCCACAAATGCAGTCCCAGCTTGAACATTCAGTGATCCATCCTTTTCAAAAGCTTCCAAACTGGTCAGTGTGTAACGCTTAGGAAGGATTCCTAGCAAATAGGCAATCAAAAAATGCCCTGCTTCATGCTGAATCAGGATCATGTGAGGATCAATTTGTGGCTCCAAAAGGCTAAAATCCACCATTGGTCCTTCAACTTTAACAATTGTGCACGATTGATCCTTCAAGTTTTAAAAGTCCATAAATAGTCCTCCAACTTTATGAGTTCTGCACCATTGGTCTTTCAAATTTCAAAAGTCCATAACTAGTCCTTCAGGTACACGTCAGCCCTCCATATGAAGTCTTTTTGACAGTAAATATTAAAAGTTAAACGAAATACTAGTTTCATATAATACGAGTAAATTCCACTAGGTACGACTACTCTGTATTATATGGAGCTAGTATTCCATTTAGCTTTTAACATGTACTGTCAAAAGGACCTCATCTGGAGGGATGACGTGTACTTGAAGGACTATTTATGCATTTTTAAAACTTGAAGGACCAATCGTGCATAACTCATAAAGTTGAAGGACTATTTATGGACTTTTAAAACTTGAAGGACCAATCGTGCATAATTGATAAAGTTGAAGGAGCAATGGTGGAGTTTAGCCGGCTCCAAAACCATTTTAAGAAATGCCTTTTTTCATCTTTTTGGAAGAAAAATAAAGGTAGTTGTAAGAGATAAATAAACAATAAGATGTAACAGTAAATCATGTTCAAAAGAAAGTATTACCTGAATAACCCTGTTATGGTACTTTGAGCTGAGGGTGTGACCAATGGTGTCCAGAATTAAGGCACTGAGCCCTCCATTGAAGGAGACCTATCCAAAACCAATGATAAAGACTCAAGAATGGAAAAGCCCGGAAGGATAGAATAGGACTTCATCAACAGATGCAAATACTGAAGAAAATATCAAACTGATGAACTAATAAACTACTACACTTCGAACTAAGAAATGTTTTTTCATTGTTGCTTACTTTAAGGAGCGCAATGTTTTGACAGCAAAGTCAAAAACCTTCCAGTTCTCTCTTTAAAATATCCAGCAGAAGCTTTTTAATTGAAAGATAGGAACTGTTAATTTGATGTGCTTCAGACCAAATTGTGCAAAGTTTAGGTGCCACCAACAAAATGATGCTTCATTTTCTAAACGCAGCAAGCATCACACACTGTCCCCCAAGCTAAAGCAAAAGTACGCATAGCTCTAGAGAGTCATTTTCATGAATGTACAACCTTTAAATTTAGTACGTTACAACTATTGGAAATTATCAAACAACGTTATATTTTACTCTTAAATTTACTTATTGGTTTTACTAAATCTTGAACACTTGGAATTTTTTAATTAAAAGAATATAACAAAAATTAGCTTCCTTTATTCAAATTCAACTCTTTATTGGGACAAAAAAATAACATTAGAAAGAGTACTATTTTCATGAGCAAGAGGCAGGAAGACTACTTACTGAGTCAAATGTCCATAGAAACAAAAGTCCCAAAGAGACGGTGAGAATCTGTTGAGGATTGAAGTGCAGCACATTCGAAGCGGCAACACCCCCAGATATAGCTGCAACCTGCAAGTTTCTCTCAATAGAACCCAGTGTGGCATCAACTGGTGATAAAAGAGAAGCGGTTTCTATTCCATTCACTCTGAGTTCGTCCAGAGAATATAGTCGCTGTGGTATCTGCAAAATGGCTTTTGGTCATATATTCAAAAATTTTTAAATTCAAATCCGCCCAGATATTCAAAGACGCTTTTGATCGTGAATTTAAAACGCAAAAGAGCACAATAGAAGGATTAATTACAAAGCTTTTGAATGGAAAGATCTAAATACTACTATTGCTTTGGATACTTTCTCCGACAAACGAACCTGCCGTGCGGCGCCAAAACCCCTGAGACCGCCGGGGATTCCTTGAAATTCTTTGACGAGCGACAGTGCAGCTCTATCATCTCCTTTGCTCAGCTCATTATCCACTTCTTTCAGTACTCGCCGGCGTAAGCCGCCGCCGAATTGCGATGAACTCACAGTCCTGAAATTGCACCATCCACACGGACGCAATAATGATACAGATCCCACATAACAACAAGCCACACTCATATTGGTTAAGTTCTTTTCCCACGAAAACAACACATTGGAATGGTTTACCACAAAAAAAAAGGGACGAAAATGTAATCATTACTCCATCTTTCTCCTTAAAAAAACCAATGGATTTACCCCAAATTGTAGTGCAGACATTTTAACCGTTCGTACGGATATAAAATGTTACTCAATTAAAAAAAAGTGCACTGACATTTTTTGTCAATGTTAATCATCACACTAGCACAAAATATCCGTGCATAATGCCTTTGGAGTATAAAATGGGGTACAAATTTAGTGTACATTTACCTTAATCCTAAAAAAACTCACTATATGATCTATATCCATATCAAATACCCCCTAGGGGTGGGCGCGGTCCGTGATTTTACCGGAACCTATCACGAACCGCTATTATTTAAACGGTTCGGTATCAGTACGGGATGAATTCCAAAACCATTCGGTACCATTCCGTTTTAAAACGGAACGGTACAATACCATACCCATGATCAAACCGTGCCAAAAATTGAACGTACATTACTTAAAGAATTTTGAATTTAATGTATAAATTTGTATAAAAAAAGTACAAGAATGTTAAATAAAAGTAGTGACTTCAAATTTAAACGCATCATAAACATAAAGAATAAAAGATAACGAATCCAAAGTTAAAAAATATATTTTTTTCCAATTCATATAATACCAGAATACTAAAACCAATAAAAAAAATAATGTCAATAGTAATGATAAATATAATAACAACAATAATAATGAGAGAGTTTAAAAGTGAATAATAGAATACGAAGTACTCTAAACACGGTAAGATGAAGTAGACAAATACTCCATAATTATTTGAGATACGTACTCCGTACATAGTGTTGGACAGTTCGGTCCGTGATAATCGATTTTAAATATTTGTATCACGGTCCCGTTCCATTTGGTATCGGTTCGGTTTCGGTTAGTGATTAAAAAAATCAATCCCGTTTGAAAACACTATAAACGGTTCGATATCATTATGGTCCGGTATGTACCATGCTAGTTCGGTTTTTTGCCCACCCCTACCCCCGCCCATCAAATTGTGGTGAAGACGTTAAACACCACCCCTTTACCAATTAAGATAGGATTATGTATGCCGCGTAAAACGTTTGACGCATGGAGAAAGAAGAAAAAAAGAGGGTGAGCCCCCTTCAACACTCCATTTTTTCAAAGTGTATCCGTTCGCTACATTTTTTAAAAAATAAATTTCTTTGTCCGCTACGGATTATGTATGCCGCGTAAACTATTTTTTAGATAAAAATAATTATTACTATAATCATTTAATAGAATGCGCACAAGAGATAATACTATCAATTTTTTTAGGCTTTATTTAAAAAATTTCAAGGAATATATGGTAATGCACTGGAAGAAACAGCACCTCGTCCGCCCCCCAAATAAAAAAAAGTTTTAAAGGAATAGTCGGTGGGCTTTTGGCAAGAAAAGGTAAGCGTGGTCAGCCTTCAACGAGTTCAGGTGGTACAACTATAAGCTCGCACAATGAACTTGCTATGTACCAAGGGGTGCCATGCGATTACGACGACGACGACGTGAAGTTTGACGTCCTCGCATGGTGGAAGCGAAACGAGCACATGTTCTCATGTCTCAGAATTCTAGCAAGACAAGTTTTATCCGTCTCGGTATCAACCGTAACAGTGGAATAAGAATTCAGTTCTAGCGGCAACATTCTAACCGAATACCGAAGTTATCTTAGCATTGAATCTCTTGAAACACATATTTGCAACCGAGATTGGCTCTTGGCAAGACGTCGAGCTCAAGAGTCAGCGTACGAATTCAATTCTGAACATTACATGAATGCAACCTGTAACATCCTAATCCATTCAGGTCTGCAGCCCCTTTCAGACTAAAGCATTAACTTAGGAATCGTATAACTTAAAACATTTCAAATAACTTTATTCATTATAAATAAAATTCCATACATAACTGTAGAAAATACTGAGTGTTTAATGATAATGCGGAAGCGACCTTTAAACATGTTTCATAACAAACATAATCATTTATTTTGTCAATAAATCCACCACGACTGTCTCGCCCCTTCCGCTTTCAGGAATATGCCAATCATTCATCTTGTCTACCTGCGTGTATCAAATAAAACACACTACACGCTCAGTGGTGAAGTTGAGTAAGCATATCTAAAGCGTCAAACATCCACATAAATTGAATCTCAATTCATAATTAACCATTTGACATCATGCACACAACATATATTCAAGAATTCATGATATTCTCAATATTTTATTCCAAGTCATTTCGATAATCAATATCTCAACGGTTAGAATATAAATAATTGTTCTTGGGCCACAACTACAAGCTTAATCATGGCATCAGAGCCAGTTTTAGCCCACCTCGTTTGTCAAGGTGTCCGTCTAGACGTTCATTCCTAGCGGCCCGTTAGCCTTTAGCCCAGTTGTCCATATTGAGGTTGTACCCAACGGCCTGTGGCCTGTTTAACACGATTGCTCGTCTGGAAGTCCATACCCAGCGGCTCGTGGTCCTTTAGGTGTTGGCGCTCAAAAAAAGTCAAGGGAAGGGGAGTTCATTTGCAAGTGGTCAACCGGTTAGATTCAAAATGGCCCGGTTGTCCACTTGAGGGGGAGTGTTAGAGTACATCCCACATTGGAAATCCAAGAGTAAAATAATCGGTATATAAGCTCTAGAGTTGAACTAACTAATCGATTGGATTCAATCTTTTAATGTGGTTCAGCCCAAGTGTCTTATAGCCCAATCCAGTTGTCCATACTCATCCTAAATTCTATCATGGTATCAAAGCCTTGTTAACTAAGAGGCCACGGGTTCGAAACTCTGCGCCACCCAATTTTAAAAAAAATAAGGTTTCACGTGCAAGGCTAAAAAAAGACTACGCCTGCACGTGAGGGGGCGTGTTAGGAATATAAATAATTGTTCCTGGGCCACAATGCTCTTAAATCATTCTTAATCTAAGGCCAAATCATTTTATAACAAGATCTTAGCTATTCCTAGTCTAAGGCAATATTTCTAACCATGCTCTTAAACAATAAATAGCCTAAGGCAAAGACACAAGAATAGATAATCCACCCTATGAGTCATGTGGATTACGTACCAATCGAATAGTAATCTGTCGAGTGGGTGATATCCATTCTAGATCCTGTACATACGTTTTAACCCCGAATTTATGAATTGGTCAAGGAGATATATCTTAGAGTTTTTCTAGATATCCTTAATAATCATCATCAATATACAAGTGGGTATATCTTAGAGTTTTATGAGATATCCTTAACAATATACACCGTTTTTATAATCACCATTATATTCATTTTTAATCATGATTTAATCATCAATAATCATTCTAATCAGTAGGTTTATCATTATAACTATCCATGATAATTATTCATCATAATGATCATTCAACGTAACATTTAATAATAAATAGCGGCCTAGTCTCGAGTGTTAACACCCGAACTTACCGTCATGCATCACATAATGTTTTATATGTCAAAAACATCATTTTTATTGTACAAAATCATATTTATATTGTTCATAATTAATTGGTATCAAAAATAGGATTTTAGAGCTCAAAAATAGCATTTTTCGTAGCTGACTATGTTCGGAACGGTCAACCGTTTTCATGCGACAGTCGACCTTAGTGGAGGGACGGTCGACCTTTGTGGCAGAACGGTCGACCGTTTTGCAGAACGGTCGACCATTTCTGCAAACTATCCAATAGTACTTCATCTTCAACCTCGGATCAAATTTTCAAAACATCATTTTAAGCCACCAATCTTCAATTAAACGATATAGAAATGTTCTCCAATGTTCATAGATCATTTAGATACCATTAATTCGAAGTTTTAACAATAATTTCAAGGTTTATGATTCTTGTTTCTTCAAACATATCAAACACAAAACTCAACCAAATGCCCATTTATGAACGTAAAAACGATCCATACAAACATTTTAATCATTAGATATATCTACGGGCTTATGGTGAAAGAACGGTGAAACTTCCGGCGACAAAAGCTCTCAACTCCGGCGACCTCTCACGAAATTGAAAGCACCAGTGTGTTCTCCTCTCTTAGGGCAGCAGAATAGAAGGAAATATGGAGTGTTTTGGTGAAGAAAGGAGGAAGACATTCTGTGAATTTCCTTGAATGTTTCGAGTGGCTAGTGCGCCGTTCAAACACAGTAGCTCCGTTTAGAGTGTAGTCCCTGATTGGGACTAATTTCAGTCCCAGTCGGGGTACACTTTTTTGTCCAACTTTCTTCGAATTGAAATCCGATTGAACCGTTGTGGTCAGACAGTCAAACTCTACACAACGATATAATTTTCATTAATTATTGACAAACTTTATAATTTACTTTCTTTTGGGTCCTTCTTAGTAATTAATCAATTATCAATTAATTAATTCTGATATGCTTATTTTCGGGGCGTTACACAAGCACAGGTGGAAGCCCTAGTTCTGAGGAATAAGTTATAAACTTTTTTTATGTTAATGTAAATATGTAATTAGTTTTTTTAGGTGAGCGATATATAAGCTTCTTCGAGGGTTTCTTTACGGTTCGTTACCTCGTCGCTTTTTTGAACCGTCGGGATATTAAATGTAGTTGTTCGTCAGTTCGTGTATTACTCATTTTATAAAATTTAAATAACAACTACATTTTAAGATCTTTTATTTCATTATTTTCTTTAATAATTACACATTTACACTTTTAAAAATTTAAAAACAAAAAAATAGGGGGGGGGGTTGCCGAAATCGGCCGGTATGACACCATAACCGCCGGTACGGGTACCGGAACCGGTAACGTCCAGTCCGGCCACGGTAACAGTTCTTAGGGGTGGCGGTACCGGAACCGGAACCGTACCCTGTCCACTCCTATTTATGAATGGTTCAAGGATTGAACTATTTATACCCAAGATTTATACTCCAATTTAGATATCGCAGTTTTACATCTTTATTTTGTGTCAGTGTAATGTTAAGATAATAGTTGACATAGACACAAAATGTTAGTTCAAATTTTTTTAACGCATTAGTATTTTGTGTCAGTCTGAACCATCAAAAAATTAATGTATAACCATGGTGAACTTTGGGGTACATTTTTATTGTGAGTGTAGCATGGTTGAT